AAAGCTAGAAATATGCAGCGGTTGTGTGGTGCCCATATCTTAAGAAGCACATCAACAAACTGGAAAAGGTGCAAAGACATGCTACTAAGTGGCTCCCAGAACTGAAGGGCAAGAGCTACGAGGAGAGATTAGAAGCATTAAATATGCCAAAACTAGAAGACAGAAGAAAAAGAGGTGATATGATCACTACATACAAAATAGTAACAGGAATTGATAAAATCGATAGGAAAGATTAGCTGAGACCTGGAACTTTAAGAACAAGAGGTCATAGATTTAAACTAGCTAAACACAGATGCCGAAGAAATATAAGAAAATTCACTTTCGCAAACAGAGTTGTAGACAGTTGGAACAAGTTAGGTGAGAAGGTGGTGGAGGCCAAGACCGTCAGTAGTTTCAAAGCGCTATATGACAAAGAGTGCTGGGAAGACGGGACACCACGAGCGTAGCTCTCATCCTGTAACTACACTTAGGTAATTACACTTAGGTAATTACACTTAGGTAATTACCATGGGTTCTGAGAGAATATGCAACTGAGCTCAGCATTCCACTTCACCTCCTCTTTCAGGAATCCCTGTGTACAGGAGTCGTGGCAGACATGTGGAAACAGGCTAACATAGTTCCAATCTACAAAAGTGGCAGCAGGGAAGACCCCCTCGATTATAGACCTGTATCATTGACAAGTGTAATAGTGAAAGTATTGGAAAAACTAATCAAAACTAAATGGGTAGAACACCTAGAGAGAAATGATATATCAGACAGACAGTATGGTTTTCGATCTGGAACATCCTGTGTATCGAATTTACTCAGTTTCTATGATCGAGCCACAGAGATATTACAGGAAAGAGATGGTTGGGTTGACTGCATCTATCTAGACCTTTAAAAGGCTTTCGACAGAGTTCCACATAAGACGTTGTTCTGGAAACTAGAAAATATTGGAGGGGGTGACAGATAAGCTTCTAACATGGATGAAAAATTTTCTGACTGATAAAAAAATGAGGGCAGTAATCAGAGGCAATGTATCGGACTGGAGAAATGTCACAAGTGGAGTACCACAGGGTTCAGTTCTTGCACCAGTGATGTTTATTGTCTACATAAATGATCTACCAGTTGGTATACAGAATTATATGAACTTGTTTGCTGATGATGCTAAGATAATAGGAAGGATAAGAAACTTAGATGAGTGTCATATCATGCCCTTCAAGATGACCTGGACAAAATAAGTATCTGGAGCACCACTTGGCAAATGGAATTTAATGTTAATAAATGCCATGTTATAGAATGTGGAATAGAACATAGACCCCACACAACCTATATATTATGTGAGAAATCTTTAAAAAATTCTGATAAAGAAAGAGATCTAGGGGTGGTTCTAGATAGAAAACTATCACCTGAGGATCACATAAAGAATATTGTGCGAGGAGCTTATGCCACGCTTTCTAACTTGCTTTTAAATACATGGATGGCGATATACTAAAGAAATTGTTCACGACTTTTGTTAGGCCAAAGCTAGAATATGCAGCGGTTGTGTGGTGCCCATATCTTACGAAGCACATCAACAAACTGGAAAAGGTGCAAAGAAGTGCTATTAAGTGGCTCCCAAAACTGAAGGGCAAGAGCTACGAGGAGAGGTTAGACATCATAAATGCCAAAACTAGAAGACGGAAGAAAAAGAGGTGATATGATCACTACGTACAAAATAGTAACAGGAATTGATAAAATCGATAGGGAAGATTTCCTGAAACCTGGAACTTTAAGAACAAGAGGTCATAGATTTAAACTAACTAAACACAGATGCCAAAGAAATATAAGAAAATTCATTTTCACAAACAGAGTGGTAGACTCCGTTTGGTAGGAACGAGTTAGTGTTCCTTGTGGTAGGTAGTGGTAGGAACAAGTTAGGTGAGAAGGTGGTGAAGGCCAAGACCGTCAATAGTTTCAAAGCGTTATATGACAAAGAGTGCTGGGAAGACGGGACACCACGAGCGTAGCTCTCATCCTGTAACTACACTTAGGTAATTACACTTAGGTAATTACACTCATGTCGTCCCCCACACGCATTCTTTTAGCATAAGGGTACTGAGTAAATGGTATGACCTAAAAAAGCAGGTTGTAGAGGCAAATTCCATTCATAAATTTAAAGCAGGTATGAGAGAGAAATTAGTCATTGCATTAAGACAAACTGTGGGGTCAGGTTGTCTTAATGCAAGAAAAAAAACGGGGTCAAAGAGCTTGAGCTAGATCCTGCAGGCACAAATAGGTGAGTACAAATAGGTGAGAGCAAGTTCTCCAATCCTTGTTCTACATGCTTTTCAGCTTGGAGAACTCCAGGATCTTTGCATCATATCTGGGTGAAAGTGCTAGAGAGAGCTATTCAAGTGGTGTTCCTATTATCATAACTATAGAGATCATTGATAAAAGTTGAAGTGGTGATTATTGTGAAAAATATATAAATCTGGAAAAATATATTAAATTTGGAAAAAAATTTGGCCTAGGGTCTCTGAACCAGAGCAGACAAAATCAAAACAAATATGGTGGATGGGACAGAATTGGATGAGCCAAGATCGTTAGTAGAGACAGCAAAGGCGGTAGATTTCAAAGGTTTTACTCAGAAACAAATACAGAACGGATATTTTCTAGGTAAGTTAATGAGCATTGAAGATTTGCTAGGCATATAAATGAGAATTTCTTAATTTAGAACAAGAAAACAGAGATCTCAAGATCTTGAACAAATCCACAAGGGCAGTGATGAGGGTTTGAAATTACATCCAGAATGATCCCAGACGTTGCCTTAGTCGACTAGGCCACGACATGGTCAAAAGAATTGCAACCGGGAATTCCACTTAGTTCACACGGATCCTGTAACCTCGCCGAGACACAAACCAGGGTTTTACATAATTCCCCCCATGCACTCGGGCTCTTGTCAACATGCTGTTCTACCTCTTCACCCTCACTTCAATACACACAGAAATCACAATAGCATGATGCATCAATAGAACAGCAGAAGTAGCCTAGTGAGTTTTAAAGGTGCTGCAGGGTCCCTGTGTTTTGGGGCTGGTGTACACAGGGGTTAAACACTGACTTTATTCTGAGGGAAAATTAGTACAGAGCCGATAATAAAGATACATGTACTGTAAGGAAAGCAGTGATGGAGCGTCATCATTGGAGCTCGGTAAGGTTCTGTCCTCCTTCCCCCATGACACTAGCCCTGACAAACTATAAATTGTGATGTAGTCCATTTTATCCCTTCAACTTCATGTATCAACCAGGGAACAATGCTGGTGCACGTGTCAACCTTGGTCATTTTTAGGTTTAGCATTAAATGTAAAACTCCCGCAGGTACATGGGACACACATCTGTTACCTCAAGCCTCCAATAAACAGACACCTTGGGCAAAAAAATTGTGGGCATCCTTCGTACGAGCGACAGCATCAGTTCTAAAACAGCAACCATAAGCAGCATATGCATCACCAGCTCACATCACTGCCATAAAGTTGGTGCACACACTATCACTTAGTGATGATGAAATAAATAAATAAGTAATTTCAATAATTTAATGTTGATAGTGATGTGACTATCTATGTACAAGGTTCAGATACCGGAGCATCTGTTGATACACCAGTATCCAATGCTGTTGACACAGCATGAACCAGAAATGGTGAAAAATGTGTGGGGTTAGGAGGCGTGATCGAGGACCGGGCCGTGGGGCTGTTGAGCCCCAAAATCATCGCAAGGATGGGCTGAGATTGCATAAATTGTTAGATACATCACACCCACCAGAACTACTTAGTGGTTCATTACATAACCTGCTTGGTACCTGCTTGATGGGGTTCTGGGAGTTCTTCTACCCCCCAAGCCCGGCCTGAGGCCAGGCTTGACTTGTAAGAGTTTGGTCCACCAGGCTGTTGCTTGGAGCGACCTGCAGGCCCACATACCCACCACAGCCTGATTGGTCCGGCACTCCAAGAGAAAACTAAATAGTTTTCTTCAAGAGATATCCACGGCTGTTCCGGCAATATTTCTTATGCTCACTGGGAGGATGTTGAACAATTATGAACCTCTGATGTTTATACAGTGTTTGTGATTGGCCTATGGCACCCTTCCTTTTCACTGGTTCTATTCTGCATTTTCTTCCATATCATTCACTCCAGTATGTTTTACTGTGCAGATTTGGGACCTGGCCCTCTAGTATTTTTGTAGTGGGGGGTATTATGTGCAGTAGATAGTTATATATAACATTTGTACGCAGTGTGATAATTGCGAAAATAGTACTGTATTGTTAAAAGAATATAATACTATGGGCATATTAGTGATATGAACATATTTATGCATATCAATGTTCAGCACATTTTATTATATAAATTTCTCAAATTACACACTATTGCATTATATAACTGCAAAAAGGTGAAAAACGGTTCATTGACCAACACTCCTGCTGTCCCCCACATTCATGTCGTCCCACACACTCATGTCTTCCCCCACACGCATGTCTTCCCCCACACGCATGTCTTCCCCCACACGCATGTCGTCCCCCACACTCATGTCGTCCCCAGACTCAAGTCGACTCCCACACTCATGTCGTCCCTCACACTCATGTCGTCCCCAGACTCAAGTCGACTCCCACACTCATGTCGTCCCTCACACTCATGTCGTCCCCCACACTCATGTTGTCCCCCACACTCATGTCGTCCCCAGACTCAAGTCGTCTCCCACACTCATGTCGTCTCCCACACTCATGTCGTCCCCCACACTCATGTCGTCCCCCACACTCATGTCGTCTCCCACACTCATGTCGTCTCCCACACTCATGTCATCCCCCACACTCATGTCGTCCCCCACACTGATGTCGTCTCCCACACTGATGTCGTCTCCCACACTCATGTCGTCTCCCACACTCATGTCGTCTCCCACACTCATGTCGTCCCCCACACTCATGTCGTCCCCCACACTCATGTCGTCTCCCACACTCATGTCGTCCCCCACACTCATGTCGTCCCCCAGACTCATGTCGTCCCCAGACTCAAGTCGTCTCCCACACTCATGTCGTCTCCCACACTCATGTCGTCCCCCACACTCATGTCGTCTCCCACACTCATGTCGTCCCCCACACTCATGTCGTCCCCCACACTCATGTCGTCTCCCACACTCATGTCGTCCCCCACACTCATGTCGTCCCCCAGACTCATGTCATCCCCCATACTCATGTCGTCCCCCACACTCATGTCGTCCCCCACACTCAAGTCGTCTCCCAGACTCAAGTCGTCTCCCACACTCATGTCGTCTCCCACACTCATGTCGTCCCCCACACTCATGTCGTCCCCCACACTCATGTCGTCCCCCACACTCATGTCGTCCCCCACACTCATGTCGTCCCCCACACTCATGTCGTCCCCCACACTCATGTCGTCCCCCACACTCATGTCGTCCCCAGACTCAAGTCGTCTCCCAGACTCAAGTCGTCTCCCACACTCATGTCGTCCCCCACACTCATGTCGTCCCCCACACTCATGTCGTCCCCCACACTCATGTCGTCCCCAGACTCAAGTCGTCTCCCACACTCATGTCGTCTCCCACACTCATGTCGTCCCCCACACGCACGTCGTCCCCCACACTCCTGTAGTCCCCCACACTCATGTCGTCCCCCACCGGGGAGCCAGTGGCCGAGCGGAAAGCACGCTGGACACGTGATCCTGTGGTCCTGGGTTCGATCCCGGATGCCGGCGAGACACGATGGGCAGAGTATCTTTCACCCCTATTCACCCCGTTACCTAGCAGGAGCCGGTCGGCCGAGCGGACAGCACACGGGACTAGTGATCCTGTGGTCCCGGGTTCGATCCCAGGCGCCGGCGAGAAACAATGGGCAGAGTTTCTTTCACCCTATGCCCCTGTTACCTAGCAGTAAATTAGGTACCTGGGTGTTAGTCAGCTGTCACGGGCTGCTTCCTGGGGGTGGAGGCCTGGTCGAGGACCGGGCCGCGGGGACACTAAAAAAAGCCCCGAAATCATCTCAAGATAACCTCAAGATAGCAGTAAATAGGTACCTGGGAGTTAGTCAGCTGTCATGGGCTGCTTCCTGAGTGTGTGTGGTGTGGGAAAAAAATAGTAGTAATAGAAACAGTTGATTGACAGTTGAGAGGCGGGCCGAAAGAGCAGAGCTCAACCCCCGCAAGCACACCTAGGTGAATACACGCATGTCGTCCCCCACAAGCATGTCGTCCCCCCCACACTCCTCGTCCACCACACTCCTGTAGTCCCTCACACTCCTGTCGTGCCCCCTCACATTCCTGTCGCCCCTCACACTCCTGTCGTGCCCCCTCACATTCCTGTCGCCCCTCACACTCCTGCCGTGCCCCCTCACACACCTGTCGTCCCCCCACACTCCTGTCGTCCCCCCACACTCCTCTCGACCCCCACACTCCTGTCATTCCCCACACGCCTGTCGTCCAGCACATTCCTGTCGTCCCTCCGTCCCCCACACAGGAGTGTGTGGGACGACAGGAGAGTCGGGTACGAGAGGAGTGTGGAGGCGACAGGCGTGTGGAGATGCAACAGTTGTTGGGGTGACTTGAGTAGACTTGGGATGGTACCTGACTTACAAGGCATGCACAAGGAGGCGAGGTAAGGTCACAGAAACCTCACCTCTAGTACTTCAAAGGTTGGAAGTCAATCTCTTGATACCAGATTCAAATCCGTTGACAGTCCTAGACTAAATACTGACACACTTTACGTTACAATTTAAGCACATTTCTACTTCGTCCACCAAATTGAATATTAGCATATACTTAGTAAATTATATTAAAAAATTCAAGTAATTCGTTCCTATATAGGATTATTTATACTCTTGTTTCTGTGACTTTTCCTAGCATTAATGAGACTCTTTATCTTCACCATACACTAATCTTCTGTATGGATTTTCCGTATTGGTGTTTTTACTTATTAAATATTTTATCCTTTATTATTGTTAGCGCACAAAAATATTAACCCCCATCCCCCAACAAGAACAATATGTATTATTCCCCTAAAAAAACACAGATTTTCAAAGATTAACACACTCACAAAGCCCACAATCAGCCCCACATCAAGAATTATCAAACATCATTTCAGGTTGAAGGCTGATAATTGCACCAACATGCAATATACTCCGCGAATGCTGTCCAATCCTTGACAACCTTAAATTTCCCTAACACTAAGAGTGAGTTTGAATTAGTATACGAAAGAAAAGAAAATATTTACACAAGGTACCTAGGATACTACCCTGTTACAGAACAAAGTTCTGTTACTCCTACAGCCTGAATTCTAATTGTCTGTCTACTCCAAATGTCACTATTACCACCATGAATCCTGCAGGAATCTCTGTCTACTCTGACAAATGGGATTACCGCTAGTTCGCATGCACACAAATTTACCGCCAGACTGGGAGCTGAATACTGTCTACTACACTTCCTTGTGTGATTATCGCTAGCTTCAAGCCCTTGCACTATACCGTGCTCAGAAATAAGACAGCCGCCCCTATTCTGATAGATCGACTTTAACCTGTCGATCTGCTGTACAAATTGTACACCCCTGATTAAATTGAGAGAACGGAGTAACTGATTCTGTCGAACCAATCAGAGCGTGTCTCCACAAGACAACGTCAAGCATGTCCCCTTAACCTTACGTTACAATAGTCTTACTCACTAGCCCTTAACCTAAACCTACAGTAGCCACCGAGCAGCACAGGCACCTAAATTCCTTCAGCAATTATACAATTACTAAAGACCACCGCAATGCCACTAAAGTATTTGGATAGCTTGTACATATCATTAGCATTACCGAGAATTCTGGGATAAAATTCGACGGTCCGGTGGCATGGAGTTATTTATTCCAGTAAAACGGTATATAATTGTATGCTTAGCTAATTTCAAAGTGTGATTACGCATTAAACGGGATTAAGGATAAAACGGTCGGAGGCGTGAATTAGCGACTCTGAGGCCTGTCATCAACTTGGGAATTAATGACCGTCGCCAGTTAGAACAGAGGGTGGGAATTTATTTTATCATCCCTCCCCTCCTAGGGAGATGGGGAAAACGTGGCGTACAGGAATTTTCATTGTGTGGGATGTTGCGTGTTGCGCTGTGAATCATCAGGCGGTTAGTAAAAGACAAGGAAACAGTTATCACAGGTGGACGAGTGTCTCCCTGGGGAGAGAGTCGAGGCTGCCACAAATAGGGAGCATGGAGGGGGGGGGGGGGGAGTTAGGGAGGAACATAAAAGCTACCTCACCTTTTCTGACCTCAACCCACGTTCCACATGGGGATCAAGGCCACCCCTCTGCCCGACCTTTCCACTTAACTCAGTCACCACCTCCCCCCAGCTCAATATACTCCCCCATCCGTCCCTACCACAAGCTCCCCCCAGCTCAATATGCTCCCCACCCGTCCCTACCACAAGCTCCCCCAGTTCACTATGCTCCCCACCCGTCCCTACCACAAGCTCCCCCAGTTCACTATGCTCCCCACCCGTCCCTACCACAAGCTCCCCCAGCTCAATATGCTCCCCACCCGTCCCTTCCACAAGCTCCCCCAGTTCACTATGCTCCCCACCCGTCCCTACCACAAGCTCCCCCAGCTCAATATGCTCCCCACCCGTCCCTACCACAAGGTACCCCAGTTCACTATGCTCCCCACCCGTCCCTACCACACACTCCCCCCAGTTCACTATGCTCCCTACCCGTCTCTACCATACACTCCCCCAGTTCACTATGCTCCCTACCCGTCCCTACCACACACTCCCCCAGTTCACTATGCTCCCTACCCGTCTCTACCACACACTCCCCCAGTTCACTATGCTCCCTACCCGTCCCTACCACACACTCCCCCAGTTCAGTATGCTCCCTACCCGTCTCTACCACACACTCCCCCAGTTCAGTATGCTCCCTACCCGTCCCTACCATACACTCCCCCAGTTCAGTATGCTCCCTACCCGTCCCTACCACACACTCCCCCAGTTCACTATGCTCCCTACCCGTCCCTACCACACACTCCCCCAGTTCACTATGCTCCCCACCCGTCTCTACCACACACTCCCCCAGTTCAGTATGCTCCCTACCCGTCCCTACCACACACTCCCCCAGTTCACTATGCTCCCTACCCGTCCCTACCACACACTCCCCCAGTTCACTATGCTCCCTACCCGTCTCTACCACACACTCCCCCAGTTCACTATGCTCCCTACCCGTCCCTACCATACACTCCCCCCAGTTCACTATGCTCCCTACCCGTCTCTACCACACACTCCCCCAGTTCAGAATGCTCCCTACCCGTCCCTACCACACACTCCCCCCAGTTCACTATGCTCCCTACCCGTCCCTACCATACACTTCCCCAGTTCAGAATGATCCCTACCCGTCCCTACCACACACTCCCCCCAGTTCACTATGCTCCCTACCCGTCTCTACCATACACTCCCCCAGTTCACTATGCTCCCTACCCGTCCCTACCACACACTCCCCCCAGTTCACTATGCTCCCTACCCGTCTCTACCATACACTCCCCCAGTTCACTATGCTCCCTACCCGTCCCTACCACACACTCCCCCCAGTTCACTATGCTCCCTACCCGTCTCTACCATACACTCCCCCAGTTCACTATGCTCCCTACCCGTCTCTACCATACACTCCCCCAGTTCACTATGCTCCCTACCCGTCTCTACCATACACTCCCCCAGTTCACTATGCTCCCTACCCGTCCCTACCATACACTCCCCCAGTTCACTATGCTCCCTACCCGTCCCTACCACACACTCCCCCCAGTTCACTATGCTCCCTACCCGTCTCTACCACACACTACCCCCAGTTCAGAATGCCCCCTACCCGTCTCTACCATACACTCCCCCAGTTCAGAATGCTCCCTACCCGTCCCTACCATACACTCCCCCAGTTCACTATGCTCCCTACCCGTCTCTACCATACACTCCCCCAGTTCACTATGCTCCCTACCCGTCTCTACCACACACTACCCCCAGTTCAGAATGCCCCCTACCCGTCCCTATCACAGGATCCCCCAGCTCAGCAAGCCCACCACACTTCTCAGCTCACCATTCATAACGTATTTAGACGTCTGCGTATTTTTTGCTTTGTTTCTGTTATTTCACCATCCCAATCACACCATCCACTCTATCACTGATAGAGCCACCAAGCCAGTTGTTTCATATATGAATTAACTTAGAAGTAAAGTTAAACTACTTAATATAGTTTAGTTAAAGTTAAACTACTTAATATAGAACATACTTAAACCTTTGCCTTTGATATAAATGAGACCTTTACAGTGACCGACGGCGAAGGGGTGCCGGTCACAGGAGTTGAAGGGGTGAGTTAAAGATGGCACAGGAGGAGTGGAGGGTGAGACGGAATGGACGGATTTGAACCTGGTAACAAGGGATG